CAGGAGGGTATGCAGCAGGCGCTGTGTCCTGCAGGGAGGGGACACAGCAGGTGCTGGGGCCTGCATGGGGGCCTAGCGCCTTGGGGATGGAGCGTGGTGGCAGATGGGGATGCGGTGAAGATAGGGTGTCCTGGGCCCTGCGCCCCCACCTCTGCGCCCTCGGGCCGCAGCCTCCTGCCTCTGTCCTCTGTCCTCTGGCCACAGCTCAGCTGGACTCAGCAGATTCCTGAGAAGGAGGCCAAGCGCTCAGCTCGAAATACCTCGTGCAGGTGGAGGGGTGCTTATGAGGTTTAGACTGCAGGTGTGCGGCATCTCAGCCCCTCCACCCCTCCTGTGCCCTGGCTTAGACCCCCGACAGGGGGGCAGTGCGATCCCCTACCCTGAGCTCTAGCCTGGACTGTCCCTGAGGCAGGGCCAGGGGGGATCAGGCCAAGTGGACTACAAGTCCCCGTGGATGCGAGTCAGCTGAGCTCCTGCCACCTCTGTGGTCTTGCAGCCTTGGGGCTCAGGAAATGCCCATGAGCAGATCCCGTGGCCTCTGCCTACCCCCCCAAACCCCAACTCCCTGTGGCGTCCTGTGATGCCTCAGGCCTGGCCACGTGGTCCCCGGGATGTTTCAGCCTCCAGAGGAGCCTGGACCGGGGCGGGGGTGGGGGGGAGGGCTCCTGCCACCCCTGCCCCAGAACCCTGGGTTTCTGCAGCTGCCCAGAGATGAATCCTCACTCCCACTTAATAGGGATACTGATGGGCAGCGGGACCCGGAGGGCCTGGGACGGCTTCTCCCCCACATCTGAATGGGTGTCCTGAGTTCCTTCTTGGAGGGAGTGTGTTGGGGGGAACTGCTTGGGTTGGGGACCCTGGGGGCAGGACCTGGAGGAGGAGGGGAGCGGGGCAGGAAAGGGTGTGAGGGAGAGGGCGTTCTCAGCAGGGGGACAGAGGGACAGCACGGGTAAAGCCCAGGTGGCTGGAGGCCCAGGTGAGGACCGGGCGTGGCAGGGGGCCTGTGCGGCTGGCGGGGGGCAGAGGGAGCAAGGGGGTCGGCTTGGAGGCAGAGAGGGGCGGGAGCTCGGAAGGCTCACTGAACATGGCAGGTCATCTCAGGTACACGGTTAGGTGGAAAGATCAAGAAAGTTATGCATGACATGGTGCCATTTATAGAGAGGAAAAGATGTATGTTACATACATTCAGACGGGAAGGGGAAAGGGACACCCCTCGTGTTGCCCACAATGGTCCTGGGGCAGGGCTATGGGTGACCGAGTTACTGCCTTGTAGGTTCTCTGTGAATTTCTGTGATGACCTTCTAATTCAGATTTTTTTAAAGAAAAATTTTATTTTGGAGTAATTTTTGATTTACAGAAAGTTGCAAAGATGTTAGAGAGTTTCTGTCTACCCTCTGTCATCAGTGGTATAATCCGCTCCCCCCCCAAGACGTCCAGATCCTCGTCCCGGGACCTGGGACGTGTCCCCTCACGCGGCAGAGGGGACCTTGTCAGGGCCCCCGAGGAGGGGGTGACCCTGGGTTCCCGGGGGCCCGGTGTCCTCACGAGGCCCTCACGAGAGGGAGGCAGAGGGTGGGAGTCCCAGAGATGGGCAGACCCCGCGCTGCTGGTGGTGAGGATGGGGGTTGCCGCGGACCAGGAAGAGGCCGGAGCCGGGTCTCCCGGGAGCCCTGGGGGGACCAGCCCTGTCCACACCTTTGTTTTAGGACTTCTGACTTCACAACGTGAGGTTGATAAATGGTGATTTTTTTTTTAAGCTACCAAATTTGTGGTGATTTGTTACAATAGCCCCAGGAAACAAATAATTTTGTCACCACTCGGGAACTGATACTGGCATATTGTTATTACTAATTAATAATATTAGCAATTACTATTACTATTAACCGAACTCCAAACTGTATATGGATTTCACCATGTGTGTGTTTTTAGCTAATTTCCCTTTTCTGTTCCAGGATCTCATCCACGATCTCCCGTGACATTGAGCTACTTTTCTCATAATTGGTAAAAAGACCCAAGCAGATGAAATAGAGATTATTCATGTGGAAATCTGGCCGGGTCTGATGCTCATGCAGCACAGTGCACAAAGCCGGAGTCAATCGATGTCCCTGGAGAGGAGTCGAAGCAGCATGCAGCTGGAGAGAGGATGCCAGGATAGGTGTCCTCCTCCCCCCAGAGGAGAAGCACCCACTCTGGACCCTGAGGATGCCCCCTCTGTGGGCAGGCTGTGGGGAGCCCGGGGAGGGTCTGAACTTGCATGAGGCCACCCAACAGGTCAGCACCTATGGAGTAGACAGCAGGGACAAACACAGGCCCATGTCCGCATGTGGCGTGCCCAGTCTGGTGGGATGAAAACCAGCAGACCTGCAAGGAAATGACATAATTTCAGGTTGTGAGGGACCACAAAGGGAATCGAGGGGTGGAGGTGGCCTCCTGGACAAGGGTGGCCCTTGCCTAGGCCCTCGAAGATGAGAAGGGGCTGTTGGGAGGAGACTCAGGGATGGGGAGCACCATGAGCAGAGAGAAGGACATATGCAAAGGCCCTGAGGTTGGGATGAGCTTGGTATGGGAACTTGGACCAGCAGAGAGGCCAGGGCGGCTGGAGTGGGGTGAGTGAGTGGGTGGGTGGGAGGGCCATGGGGGGGCGAATCAGCAGGCCTTAGTTTGAATATGATTTGGTTCTGGAGGGCTTCTTGCTCATAGGAAGAGATTGAGCCTCCTGCCCCTGGGTCCCAGAGCAGGCCCTGAAACCAGCTCCCGGCCACCCCCCTGGTTCTGTGAGCCTCCAAGGGCCCAAACACTCTGTGTCCCCTGATCTAGCCAGGCAGTTGACGCTTCCCTCATCTTCCTCTTGGGTAGACAGTCCTGAGGAATGTTGTACCCAGTTCCTTGGGGACCCACAGGGGTCACCAGGGCCCACCCTGCCCTATGCCCCATCCTCCCCAGGCACTCACACCTGCTCTGCACCAAACCCTTGCTTCAGGCTCTGTGTTTGGCAGAGCCCAGATGGAGATATGGGAGGAGAGACAAGCCTCCCACTTTGGCGTCCTGCTGGCCTGCCCCATGTCATCAAGAGGGAGTGAAGACGGGGACAGGGGCCTCAGACCCAAGCTGCAGGCACTGGGAGGAGGAAGAGGAGCCGCTAAGGATAACTGAAGAAATCTGGAAGAAGGGTGGGAAAAAAGCCTGCAGAGCGGGGTCTGGGAGGACAGGAGAGGGCAGGGCTTCTAGAAGGAGCCAGCGAGGCGCATGAGGCTGGGAGAGGCAAGGACAGAGTTTGGTCCTGGGGTGGGGGGGGAGCCGGGTCTAGCCTCCCCCACACCGCTGGGCCAGTCTGGAGACAGCGCGTGGCCACAGTCATGGGGTTTCCAGAGTGTGGTGGCCGCTCCGCTCCTGGCCGTCCCCAGGGAGCTACCAGGTGGGGTGACCGCTCACAAGTCCAGGCACGAGAGAGTCTATGGTGTTTCAAAGGCCAGGAGGCTAGAAAGGGACCCAGAGCCTCATGCTCCAGCTCCGGCACCTTCCGGAAGGGGCAGACTGTGCCACCCACATGCCCATGGGCTAACACCTCCCCAGGGAGGCCTCCAGGAGTCTCACCGCGGGGGGCTGTCTCGGCAGCCGCCCCCTCTGCCTGCAGCAGGTGTTTGGAGCGAAGCTTCCCGGCATTTCTCCCAGAAAATGTGCTGAGTCTGGGGAGTTAGGTCAGGGAAGGAACAGACTATAGCCTGGAGCATGGGGGCTCCGGGCGGGAGCGGTGGGTGGCCAGGCCAGGTGCCGGCCCGAGAGACCAGCCCCGCCTCTGGAACCTGGGCAGGGGTCGGCATGGGAGGCTCAGGCAGCCCGCTGAGCCCCTTTGTAATGCTGCAGTCCTTTGCTTGCCAGGCACGCTGCCTCAGTTTATCCATCTATAAATTTGTGGGTATTAGTGCACTCCTAACGCTGTGATTTCTTTTGCCGAGGGTGGGGGATCTAACACGGTCTTCATTCCTTGTTGTTGTGGCAAACGTAACAGAAACTCACCGTTGTAACCGTTTCTAAGTGCACAGCTCAGCGGCATGAAGCACACTCACACCGTCCTGCGACCGCCCCCACCCTCCGTCTCCAGAACGTTCCATCTCCCCACATGGAGACTCTGTCCCCGTGAAGCACGGACTCCCCACCCCCACCCTCCGTCTCCAGAACGTTCCATCTCCCCACACGGAGACTCTGTCCCCACGAAGCACGGACTCCCCACCCCCTGCCCCAGCCCCGGCTCCCACCCTCTCCTCTCTGTCTGTGTGGACCCCTCTGGGGGCCTCCTGGGAGTGGGGTCCTGCGGGATGTGTCCTTCTGGGTCTGGCTCCTCTCGCTGAGCCCAGTGTCCTCGGGGTCCCTCCACGTCGTGGCAGGTGTCAGGGTCCCTTCCTGTCTAAGGCTGGATCATATTGCAGCGTGGGGACGGACCGCATCGTCTGACATATCCATTATATGTCAGTGGACACTTGGTGTGTGTCCATTGGCTTTTTGGCTGTTGTGAATTATGCTGCTACAGACATCTGTGTTTTTTGTTTCATTGTAATTTTTTTTTCATTCTAGAGTGGTTGGGGAGAGGGTCCTTGCTGAGGGGGCAGGCAGAGAACGGGAGGTGTCCCCGGCCCTGTGGTAGAGGCTCAGCCGGGAAAACACAATGGGCAGCTGGGAGAGGGGGCAGAGCAGGTATCTGTGCAGGTGACAGGTGGGCTGTGAGGCTCCCGGCCAGGATCTTAGAGGGGTTCAGTGAGCTCGGCCACCTGCCCCTGCCAGAGCTCCCAGGGCCCCTGGGGCAGAAGCCCAGGGGGATGGTATGGGGGTGCGGAAAGCGGCTCTAGACTCCAGGTGGGCCTCGGCCACTTGCAGTCCAGCGATCTTGGGCTTGCATTTGCCTTCCTGAGTCTTGGTTTTCTCATCTGTAAAATGGGGCTGAGAACAGCGCCCAGGGATTAGCAGCTGCCCGCCAGGGGCCTGGCTTATACACGTTCGCCTCTGGAGGCCGTCCTGACCCACGGCCGTGGTTCAGTCGGGTGATCTCCTAGCAGTCATTCCATGAGGGCCAAGTGTATCTGTCCTGGGTGTGCAGGGCCCCGTGCAGGTTCCACATGCTGATATGTAGGAGCTAAATGGATGCCTGAGTTAACACGCAGAGGAGGGGTGTGACTGAGAGCCAGCAGAGCCCGGGGTGACAGTGACATGATGGCCCAGACCCATGGCCCCCCAGCCACCCACCTTCTGTCACGCTGCTCCTGGTTCCCATTAGCAGGAACTTGGGCTCCCCAGCTGCAGCCAGTTGGCCCCCAACGGTGGCCTGCAGTCCTTGGCCCTGGTGCTGAGGCCAGTCCCCCACAAAGGTCCCGGAGTCTTGCTCTGGGCCCTGCCCTGGGGCACGCTGAGAGGCCCCCATGCCCTGCGTGCCCCTGCTTGACACACCAGCTGGACATGTGACCATTCAGAAGGTGTTTCCCGTCCCTGGCAGCATGACAGGGCCAGATTCCGAAATCTGGTCTCTGGAAAATTCCAAGGCCTGATTCCAGCCACAGGGAGCCCTGCTAATCCCTCCCCATTCCTCGTGTTATGTAACATTTGGGGATTAATACTGTGGCATCCAGAGAAAGCTGCCTGCATTCAAATCCAGCACTGACCTTCCTGGCTTCGGAAGCCACAGCTTCCCCGGGCCTCAGTGTGCTCATCTGTACAATGGGGACGAGGCCAGTTCCTGTGTCCCAGGACTGATGTCAGGGTGACATGAGAGAACACAAGGAAGGAGCCTGGAACTGAGTCTGAGCTATGGCTCCTAGGAGGGTCCAAGACTGCCCACCAGTCCTTTCATCCACCACCTCTCCTTGGCTGCCCAGGCCAGGAGTCACACACCCGCCTTTGCCCTTCGGTCCCCAGATTCTGCTCCTTCTCGCTGCCTAGTGACCTGCATATATGATACCCCCAGCCCCCAGCTCTGCCCCTCCTGGGTCCCGGCGCCAGGACTCACTCCCTTCCCAAGCAGCCCCAGCCCGAGAGATACCGGGCTTCTTTCACTGCCCTCTGGATCCGGCCACGGCTCCCCAGTGCCACGAGAACCCTGTCAGGCCCCCACTCCCACTCGCCTCTCCCTCGGAGGCCTCTAAGAGAATGAGACAATCTTTCTGACCTCTGTTTCCTGCTCGGGGAAATGGGCACGTTGACACTTCACGGCTGGGCGGGAGGAGCGGGATTGGAAGCGCCGGCTTGGCGCAGGGCTGGCGCGCGGGGCGCGGGCTCGGCTGTCACTGGAACTCCTGCCAGTCGGGTGTCCCCGCACGCCCACGCCCGCCGCCCTCCCTCGGAGCGCACCTGCCCACTCCGGCGCCTGGCCACGCCCCCAGCGTCGGGCTCCGCCCCTCCCTTCCCCTCCCCTCCCCCTCGGCCTATAAGAGGCGCCCCAGCGCCGCGCAGCCCCCGGAGGTGGTCCCGCGGAGGCTGCGCGGGTGCCCGCGCAGAGCGCCCGCCAGGCCCCCGGCGGGATGGAACCCGGGCCGCGGCGGCGGCGCACTTGGTGCCCGCCGGTCTCCGCCTTCCTGCGCGATCCGAGCTCCGGGCGCGTCTACAGGCGCGGGAAGCTGATCGGCACGGTGCGGACCCCGGCTCCGCGAGTCCGCGGGAGGGTCTCGGGCAGCGCCGGGGTCCGGGCGGGGCGGGGAGGGGTGTGCGTGCGCCATCTCGAGCCCCAGCGAGCAGGTGGGCGCCCCCAGGCTTGACTTCGGCGTGCGCCGTCTATCGGCGCGAGTTTGGGGTCTGGTGTGGGCCGGCTGGGTTGGGCGCCCGGATCTGTGCTGTACCCGTCGCCGGTGTGCTTTGTGCGCCGGGAGCCGGCCTTGGGCGCCTTGTGCTGTGCCCATGGGTTGTGCGTCCAGGGGTGTGGACGTGTTGCAGGTATCGGGTCTTCGTAGAAACTCTGTCGTGCTGTCTCCAGGTCCGTATCTGAACGTGCTCTCCATCTCTGTGTGCGCTTTCCGTGTCTGGGTGTGGAATTGTGTCGTGTGTTCACGTACTTACTGTACTGTGGTC